ATGTTATTACTTATACAGATTTAAATGCATTATTTCATCATTTGGGTATTCTTGCTGTTAATGGTATTTTCAGCCATAAATCTAATAATATTTCACAAGGTTCAGCCAGCTTACAAGATTAAGGTTAGTCTTAAATACATATGTTAAGTTAACAATCTCTGTAATAAAAGTATAATAATAAAAACTAAAATTAAAATATTAGAATTAGATATATTAAACACTTGAACCAATACTATTAATGAAAAAGTAACAATAAAAAAATAACAGAGTATACCTTACTTATGGAATATACAAACACTAGCTGTTGGCTTCAAATTCGTCATAGATTTAATTTCTGTTGAACAATGTAAAAGCAGAAAAGTAAACACAAAAAGCCTCAGATAGTTCAATAACAATATTAAGACTTAGAAATGGAAGTTACAAGTGTTGATATGGCAACTAACTACATTAGCAAAAACTAATATTACTTAACTAATGGTGTAAAGTCACACCATTTATGGAACTGTTATACAAGTAGTCCATCATAACCATGATATTTTTATTCCAACTGCTACTTGGCAGAGGGCTAAGCAAATCAACAGCAACTCTCTCTAGTGATTCTCCAACACAGTACTACTGTAGTTGTCCATGCTGTTTCTTTCATGAACATTTTAGCTAACAGCCTAGTTCACACAGTTTGCACCAATTCTCTACACATATTTGGCATCCAACCCAATAGAACCATTCCTTTTCTCACTTCAATGTCATTTTAAAACCTAACTTTCAAGCTTTCTTTTCCTCATTCCAATGTCTTCTTAAAAATCTAAGCATCCAGCTTTTGGAATATCATGGAGATGATAGAATACTTCAGAATGTAGAGGCTGTGAAAGTACCAACTGTATTTGTCATTTCTGTCCACTGCCATCTTCCTATTTTTGACAAATCAAGCCATCTTGTAAGCATAATGAATCCCAGTACATCTTTGTCTTTGGGCTCTATGGAGAGACTATTTGTTATGATGGTTTTCTTGCATTATTTTTGATCAACTGAATAATTGGTTTCGAACTCACACTAACAGCAGGTTAACTACATGTTACAACTGTTTCAAATTATTTTTTTAATTCACATAAGATATACATTTCTAACATTTTTTACCATAAACTTTATTTTAAAGCCTAGATTTAATAATCATTTCTTTATTAAAGCATTCAAATGTGTGCAATATTTAATTTTTTTCCTTCTTGCCTTAACATTCCATATTTGCTTTCATGGGACAAAATAGGAATGGTTAATGACAAGATATTCCTACTTTTATTAATTTATTTTTAATTATATCCTGTTACATCTGTGGGCTATTTACCTTTAAGAGGGAATAATGTATTGCCTAACAGAGAAATCTATTTATCCCAGGCATCAGTCAATGTTGTTGTTTTTAATCCTTTCAAATATATGTGTTTTTGAGTAGAGAATTTTGCAGAATCAACTCATTTATTAAAAATATGTTGTTCTAGGCAGTTTATGTTAAAACTATTTATTTGTCCAGTCAGGTTAGAAAAAAAAATCCTTATCGAATGTTTACTGGGTTTTGATGATCAGACAAGTGGTATTATGGAGCCTTGGGTTTTATATTCATTCTTACAATTTTGTTTCTGCAGCATTTAAAGACAACATAGTAGAGATTTTAGTGAACTGTGCTTATGAAATTATAAGCAGTTAGCTTTTGAATGTTGCATGAAGAAATAACTTGCATCAAACATTTTGTTTAAATTTAATAAATTTAATAGTCAGGAAAGTATTGAACAAAATGGAAATCCCCAAAAATCATTATGTTTGATGTTCCTGATAAACCAGTTGTAGTAGTATTACCGTCTGCACTGGTGGATCTAGGGGGAGCAAGGGGCCATCACCCCCAAGATCCCCAAGTTGTAGCATGTAATTGTCTGAATATGTGTTGGAACTTTTTAATTCTTTTGGCTGAAGGTCATAAATAGAAATTTATTTTGAATTCAAATGCTTACCTTCTGGTATGTTACAAGCTGTAAAATGTGCTCTTTACAATTACATCATATATTCACTGCTCTGAATATACATGTGGCCTATACAAGACAAAAAGGCATTCAAATTGTGCCCAGGGTCATTACTTCATCATGTATTTTATTCACGTGGCCCAGTTTGTTAAGCAAGGGATTTTATTTGTACAAATAATTATCTTGGGTTCCAGGTAAAACACAGGTTCAAGGATGAATGCCTTGCACAACTGCTAAGAAAGGGGCATCAGAGACATGAGGTTAAAGGATCTTTGTCCCCCTCTCCCAATTTTTTAAACAGTGGGGTAATGTTTACACACTTTTTTGTACTTAAACTATACAATGCCTCAAATGGATCATGGGATCTAATTTTTTTTATTTGTTCATCCACTTTTGGCACCACTTCAGGTGGCCCCTTTCAAAGTTTGACTCTAGATCCATCACCGTTTTTAGGACAATAATCACAATATAATAAACAAAAGTCAATATAAATATCCTGGGCAAAGTTTGTTTTGTTTTAAAGATGTAATTGCTAAGTATACCATACATTTTTTATTTATACATTTATTTGTTTTTGCTCTGCAGAGGAATATATAGACTTGCCCATTATGTGGCTGTCTATCTGTATAAAAGAACTCATTCCTAGAAAATATAAGAATTTGTCAATTATTACACATTGTGTTTTGAGAAAATGTAATGTTTCTGTCACAGTTGTCAACTTTCCAATGGTTAGTGGACTGAGGATGAGTAGCAGCAACTAAGAATTCAAAAAAATATGATGACTGCTAAACTGAAGCTGAATCTTAGTAGGCAGAACTTGACTCTTCTGGCTTTACTTAAATTATAAGATTGTTCCCACTTTTAAAAATCATTGAGTTATTTACACATGTTATTGAATTTGGAATGTAATTGTACAATTGTTTTCTATTTCTGACATTGCATGTAACACATAGCCTAAGGATTAACAGGAATAAACATACTTGTAGAAGTGACACTACTTCAAGATCATCGCAGGGAAACTAAAGTTTTATACCAAAGTACAAGCTAGAATACTGCATGAAAAGAATACTAATTTTTTTATTTAACCCATTTTTTAATTTAGGGAGGAGAAGGAATAGCAGGACCCCCTGGACCTCCTGGACCTAGAGGTCCAAGAGGACCTCCTGGTTATCCTGGGACAGATGGCATACCAGGTGTGTTTAATATTTATTGTTAACATGAATATTGGCAATGTTTTCTTATTACAAAATTACATTAGATAATTTGCAATGGATGGAGTTAACTGTAATGTTTTGTTCTTTTAGTGATCAACATTAGTTGGCTAGAGTTTGATGGTGACATCTGCTTATGATAATTTGGCATGATGTGGTTGTTGGAGTAATAATGATATTTGGATAGTGTTTGAAAATTAAGATGGTTTTATATTAATTAACATGTTTATTGCTCTTATAAGGAGGTAGCAATGGTGTGGAATTTTTTTCATATCTTATACTTACTTGAGATAGCAATGTTTTATCATTAAGTTTGTCATTCCTTCAGTGTCAATTTTGTACTTGTGTATTTTTAATCAATGTAATGACACAGAAGACCTTCTTCACCTTTTTAGTTTAACCATTTCAGAACTTGAAAGCTTGTCATTAAAATAAAAAACCTTTAAATATGGTGAAAAAACCTGTAAATGCTGTGTCATTTATTTAATTAACATGGTTGCTTTTATATGGTTATGGTGTTTCTGTTGCTGATTAAGGAGATTTTAAAATATTTCAGCAAACTCATGTTAACAGTTGAAATATGTGCAATAACCAACTGTTTAGTTTAGTGGTTAGAAAAATTTAAAGTATTCTGAAGTTTTGGTATTTATTATCATGACATGTATAATTCAGAAATATGTAAGGATTTTGTATTTTCTAAAATTATATTTTGGGTAAAATATTATTTAAAAGCTTACCAATTATTAAATTATTATTGAAAAATAAAAAATAAAAACTGGATAAACTTGATTCCAGCATTGTTCTAACTTTGCTAGTACTGATTTGGTAAAGTTAAGTAATGTATTTTAATGAATCTAATTTTCCTGCATACTAAAAACTTTCAATTATTTTCAGGAGAAGTAGGGTCTCGTGGACCTCCTGGTCTTCCTGGTGGTGCTGGACTACCTGGAAACCCAGGGAGAGAAGGTTTATCAGGTGAAAAGGGCGAGAAAGGTGATCGTGGACTTGATGGTCTTGATGGACTCCAAGGTGCACCAGGTATTCCTGGAATATCTGGACCAAAAGGAGAACCAGGACCAAGAGGAAGCTCAGGACAAACCATCCCAGGAGCAAAAGGTCTAGATGGAAGTCCAGGATTATCTGGAATTCCTGGACAGAAAGGAGAAAAGGGTATCAAAGGAGAGAGAGGTATGAAAAAGTATTTTTACAAGGCCTGCATTGAAATGGAAATTAAAGTTTAAGATATTTTTTCATCATGATATAATTTTTTTAAGAGGAGGTTAAAATTTGCTGTTCAACAACATATCTAAGATTTTGTATCTTCTCAGGCTTTGTTTTCATAACTGGTACAAATCATTTATTAAATACTAAATGTATGTTATTTTTTAGGTCAACTAGATTATTTGTTGTTTTCTTGATAGAATTAGACTCATATATTTTCATCATACTGAAATTTATATTCTTGACAATTATCAGTTTTACTTCTTAGTTTAGTCTGCTTCCTATTGTTTTTATTAGTCGTATAGCTAAAAATGGCAATGCGAAATTTCTTTCTCTTTTTTAAACTTTCTGTCCTGTTTTTATTAGTTGCATAGCTAAAGATGGCACTGCGAAATTTCTTTCTGTTTTCTAAACTTTCTGTCCTGTTTTACTCTTTTTCTATCTAGCATTTGTGAGACATTAACGATTTACTTAGTTGTTTACTTATCGTGCACCGACATAAATCATTGTAGCTTGTACTTAATATGAATGGATTTGAAATCATTGTTTGATTCCTTCCTTATTTTGTCATGTTTAGTTCTGTCATACATTTTCACACTCTTTTGTCTTACCTATATTTAACTTCGCAACTCTTACAGTTTCTGCTGCTCTCCTTACTTTATATAGTTTCTAGCTTATTTAGAATATTACACTCCATTACTGTTTGATTATGTAATAATTTTATGTTTTCTTATAGGTCCAGCTGGTGATTCAGTGGAAGGTATACCAGGTCGTCCTGGACCTGAAGGACGAAAAGGTGAACGAGGTTTTACAGGTATTTCAGGTCAACCTGGTCTACCTGGTGTTCCAGGGGTAAAAGGTAAGGACAACTGCCATATCTTTCAAGTATTTGGTTTATATTTTAAAATTAATTTACCTTTCATCATAAAACAAAATGTAAACTTTTTAAATTTATAAGAAATCTAAGCAAACTGTTTCATTTATGTTTTCCTTGGAGCTTAACAAAGAAAATTTAATGTTTTTTGTACAAATTAGCACAGTATCACATTAAACCTGGAAATTTTTAACATGTTTAAGTGTTGTTTTTCTAGCAAGTAACATTTAAGTGATGATAATATTAAGAGTTAGGTGTACATAAGTAATATCATTATAGACTTAAAAGTGTATTTTGATTCATTAATATCCTTCATATTAAAGCTTTTTCATGTAATGTTATTCATTGTTGTTTTGTCTGTTCTTAGAATAATATTAACATTGTTTTTCCACACAGCTAATTTGATACATCATCAAAGTCAATATATAAAGTTCTCTAATGTAATTAGATAAATTTTAATGGCATAAAGAGGTCAATATTATTTAAAAAATATAAGGTTTGCAGTGTGTACAGTGTTGAAGTTGTTTTAAAATATAATATTTATCAAGCAGTTTCATTGTAATGAAATTGGATAGTTGAATACTCAATTAGTAGCTTTTTTTTACAGAAATGGATTATACCATACAAAGATGTAAAAATGATATATTCTAATACGTATTTCAAAAGATAATACAGTATACTTAAATCATTCTTTCCAATGTTTGATACTATATATATATATATATATGTGTGTGTGTGTGTGTGTGTGTGTACAAGTACATTTTGCATTAGGTGGATTTTATAGAATACATTCCTACTATAATACACATATCAAAACTGTTTTACATTTTTGATCATTACATACATTTTTCCTTAATTACAAATGAATAATGTAATATTTTGAACACATTTTATAGATATTTAAAATGTATTCTGGTATATTTTAATAAAAATTTGTATGTCCAATATTAAACTTAAAATGTATTGATTGATGAGTTTGAGAATATATTACTATTACATATAATATTATGAAAAAGATTTATAATAATTGATAAACTCCCTGCAGAATTGTATCATTGTTTTAAATTATTCTAACCTTTTAGGTGAAAGAGGAGGAAGTTGCTTACAATGTATCCCAGGTTCAAAAGGCGAAAAGGGTGAGAGAGGTGTGGATGGACCTACTGGTTTACAGGGTCCACGAGGTGAGACTGGACCACCTGGACTATCTGGAGAGAAAGGAGATGATGGATTACCTGGTGCATTTGGACCTCCTGGTGATGAGGTGAAAATATAAAATTTTTATGGACATAAGAAAAAAAAATTATTAAACTTTTATGAAATTCCTGAGCTAGAGCTTGTGTATATATGTTTTAAGCAACAGTAACATTACATAACAAATGTTAGTAATGTACATTATATTTTAATATAAATTCCCATTGTTTAATGGGGTAGATAGCTAAAACTAGCAAATAATGTTATTTATTTCAAACTGTCATAATATTAATCATTGTCTGTAAAATCTGTCCAACATGTCTTCCAAACTACAAAGAATTCCAATGGAGGTGACTTCAGCCTATAAGTTGCAGATTCATATTTATTCAACCTAGAATTTTCATACACATCAGATCTTTATAAGAAAGGCTATAATAACGCTTTGTATACCTGTCACCCTTGTAATATGTATTATGATATTCGTATACCTACTTATCAAGGTTAGGTTAGGTTAGGTTTTTCATTAAAAACAAACATGTTACCTGGGTTCAGATATCAGTATCATTAGTCAAATATTCAACTTTAAAACTTCAATAAAACAGATGCTTTCAACTTTCAAGTTCTAAACTTTCTATTTCCAAATACAAATATTCCAAATATGTTAAGATGTTTACTGGTCACAGCTAATAAGGTACAAAGCTTGTTAACTCATTGCCTGTGGCTGCTGTAGTGTGAGCAGAATTTTCCAAGCCATACACCATATACAGCACACTCGCATTCAACTGCTGGAGGTGGACCATACCCTATACAGGGTCAATAGGTTAATTTACTGACGTTTTTCACAAGTAAAATGTCTCCTATTGCATTTTAACTACAAAATTTATTCACTTTTGTAGGAATTCATCAATATTTTTTGCTATTAATTATGATTTTAGACATTGTATAGAATATTACAGCCTTTTCAAAACTTTTGTTTCTACACTTAAATTCCTTTAGAAATTTTTTTATGTAATAGTTAACTGCTTTAGTGGGTTGACTACTATTACTTTTAGCTACCATTTGTCTAAGTTTTTACTATATATAGTTAATACTATGTATATCCTGGTACAGATGAGGTGCAGGTTCCCATGGGTTTCCACACTCCATGGGTTCTCTTCAGGCATCTTACAAAGGGGGCTCATCTAGGGTATATTTTGCACCAGTTCCTCTGGTTGCACTGTTTCAATTTGGGATACTAGTTATTATGTGAAGGAGGTAAGGTTTCGTACTGTATCAGAAGTTAACATTTTCCAACATTGAAAACGTATTTCCAGTAGATACTTACCTCCCCTTTTCTTGCTTAATCTCAAAGTGATGGTTGTGCTGTACAGTATAGTACACTAGTATACTACACTAGGAGGGTGCATCACACTCCTGTTGGTGGAGGGTTATTGCATGCTCATTTGCATGCTACAAAGCAGCTATATCATGTGTAAACACATGATGTTAGGTGTGAGCCTCAAGGCTAGTGGTGTGTGAAAATTGTGAATATAGAGGGCAGCACAAATTAAGAGGAGATAAGTACCTATTAGAAATACATTTTCAGGTTGGAAAGTGTTAACTTCTGGCCATTTGGTGAAAGTTTCTCATCTTCCCTCAATTTCCCATTTCCTAGGACAACTGAGGTGACCACCTAGCTCAAATGCTTATTTTCTCATTTGGCTCTGCCCCAATGAGATTTCTGCAACCAGTCTATTCTCTTCCTTTGGGAGGAGGCATTTCTCATTTATGTGGGCGTTTTTTCATTTCCATCTCCATAGGACCCAGTATTCTTCTCTTCTTTTGAGAGAGCGATTAGTTTCTCATGCCATATCTTATCCTTTTCTTACAGTGTAAGAGGTTCACTTTCTTCTGGGGACTTGGGCTTCCATGGAATCCCATATTACCTTGGGTCGTGCTCAATATGATATCTACTATGGACTCTACATGATCATTGAACCTTTGCTTAGGATCCCATATTCTCAAACATTCTCCTTCCTTACTCAAACACTTCTCCTGGTGATTTAATAAAACTATTCCCATAGTGGGTATTCCTCTTCCTTCTTCTCGTACAAGTCTCCTTCTGTTTCCAAATGCCTCCTTGATAAGATGGGAGGGCAGGAATTGAATCTCACGTGCATTTGGGTTGGTGGTACCATGACAAATTATCTCTTCATATCCATTTCTTAGGAATTTTGGGGTACATCAGGTTTTGGATAATTTTCTTAGGATGGTTCCTAGACATCTAGTGATGATACATACAATGAACTCTGCATTTGTCTCCTATAATAATTGCCGTGGGGAAACTCCATCTCACTCCCTGTTTTGATCTCTTTTATGGGGCTCATTTTTACAAGAATGTCAAATTGCTTGTTCTGTTCTGGGTGCCATGAATCTTGTCACAGATCATCTCTCAAAGCTCACCAAAATACTACTTATGAATTGATTCCTTAATCCTCTGGTGTTCAAGTAGCTGTACTCTCATCTGGACACTCTTCTTCTAGATGTTTTTGCTGCCAATCTCAACACTATACTTTCCTTTTTCTTGCACCCTGTTCTCCCCTGTGGATGCATTCACTCAGGACTGGTTCAACATTTTTCTCCATGCCTACCCTCCTTCTCTTGGGTTTTCCCTCATGCAGGACAGTCCATGTTGACTTCTTCTGATAACTCTATACTGGAAGGCTCAGCTATGGTTTCCTCTATTGCATCTTCATCTGTACTTTCCTCCTCTTCTACCTCTGTCACTCTCCCTACTGCTTTAAACTCACTTCTCCCTTTCCCATCTGACAGTGTTGTCACTCTGACTCCACATGTGAGTTTTGTCCAATCCCTTGCATGACATTACAGACTATCTTCATGTGTAGCCTTCCTTCTTTCTTGTTCAGTTTATTCTTCCTCCCTCCTTGTATATCCACGAAAAGGGCACACATTCCATAATTGGACTCTGTCTTTTGCTATCTCCCCTTCCCTTCCTTCTATCCCCCATGTTTTCAACTTTTTAATTGGCTTTTCAACCAGGGCTTCTTGCTTTCGACTATAGCTGATTACTGGGAAGCTCTACCTAATACTTTCGAGTTTTCTCATTATCGTCATGTACACTGAGTGGTCACAAGTAAATAGACAAAATGGATCCCATTTACTTGTGACCACGCTGTGTATTCTCTTCTCCTGTTCTTTCTATGCTCTTTCATTCTTTCTTGCCACCTTCATCCTCCTCGTCTTGTAGTCCTTCCTGATTGAAACCTAAATGCTGTTCTTTACATCCTTACCCTTCCTCTTTTTGAACCTTTAGTTTCTTGTTCCTTGTTCTGTCTTTTGCTTAGGTCATTTTCTTACTTTTTGCCTGTGGCTGTAGAAGATATGTCGTGTCTGCCATTGCTGCTTCCATTTTTTCCTTCCATTTCTTACTATTATTCTCATTCTGTTCTGAATCATTTTATCTGTCTTATCCATGTGGTTCATTGTTATTTGATCCCCTCTGGTTCTTTTCATGGCACACATTGCCATTTATTTATTTCTCATCTCCTTGAGTTATTTCTCCCATTACCCTCAAGGAAAGACTACAGCAACTCATCCATTTAACTAATGCTTCATTGGATGTAGATTCAGATCAACTCTTTCAAGTCTCCTATCCCCAAATCCAACACTTTACTCTCTCTCTGGCTGTTCATGCTCTTCATTTCTGTCATCCATTAGAGGAGTTTACGTGAGCTGCCATATGGAATACCTCATGCTTTTGTTGCACATTATCCTTATCATATGGCTGTCTCTTCTTCTTCAGGATATCGAATTCCTTCCATCGCCATTCTAAATACCCCTTACAGGCTCTGAATGGGTAATTTTGTTTTCTATATATCATACCTTTACAATGGCCCATTTCTACATCTTAGGATCCTGCTGAGTGGCCAGCAGTGTCTACCAAGGTAAACATCACTCTAAATCCACACCATGTGTCCTTAAAGTTTATAACTCGAGATTTTCTTGCATTATATTGCTTAATAAATAAAGTCCATTTCAGACCATACCAACTCATGGACTATCATGAGTAAAGCAGTGTCAGAATTTTTGCCCATTCCTGTAGTCCTAGCCAAATAAACCGTGACCAGCCTGCTTTTCAAAATAGGGTTTCATGGTCACCAATGGCATACTCATAAGGTTTTGCATTCCTCAGGACTTCCCACTGCATTTCCCCCTCTTCTAATGGAGTACAGACATTTTGCCAATTACCAATTCCTAACCACTGGGGTGGTGGACCATAGAGGCTTCCTCTGTAGAGAGTAGAATGATGGTGTTCTGTTGATGTAGAGGATGTGTACTCTCCTCTACTTCAGACCAGATGCACAATTCTTGATGCCTCCTGGTTTTGGACTGGACGAATCTGCCACATGTAGTTTGCTCCACTGGCTGGCTTTCCCCCATTCTATTCTTGCCTGGATGTCAGTTACCAGACAGTCTGATGTTGGATAAGTGCAGTACCAGCCATCATAAGTCTTCGCACATGTTATTGGTAGGGACTCTCCTCCTACTGCAGACTGGACAAAAAATTCTGATGCTGCCTGGTTTTGGACTAGTTGACCCAACACATTTGTATTCCCCCCTTCCTACCATTGCTCAAATATCAGGTTCCTAGGTGGCCTGGTATTGATTGTGTACTGGAACTGCACACATGTGCCCTTCTTAGGTTACCAGAATGGAAGTAGCTTTTCCCTTCTCCTTCCTGCCTAGAGGAGAAGATGGTTAGGACCCTCCTTCTACCACAGACTAGAAGACATGTACCCAATGCAACCTGGTTTTGCACTGAAGTTGACCTACCAAGTACAATCGGACACACTCTAGCCACTCTACATCATCTGGCAAGTCTATTTCCTCTATTAGATTTGCTTCTTTTCTGTCTGGCTTGGTGACTCATATCTTCACTGTGGGGGGGAAGTGACCGAGACATGAAAGCTGGAAGACCAGACACTTATCTACAGATTCCCTGGAAACCACCCACACAAAAAAATGAAGAAAATCATGGAAAAGTATGAGAAACCCAACCAATAGTTATTAGGACCAACATTGCTATGGGCCAATGTTAGAGAGAAATATGATTCCCTGAAGGAGGGAAAGTAATGGAAACAGAAGACAATGGAGGAGGAGAAGCAAAAATGATGGTTAAGGTTCTTCGACAGAACTCCCAGTACCCACCAATAGGCTGTAAATGGAGGGCAAAGGCCTATATACCAAACAGAACTGGCCCTAATGACCTTGAG